GTCAGGTTGAATTTCAGAAATTAAAATAGAGCATCTGAAAACAGAGCAAAACCAGACTCAAGACAACTGCTTGACTGCTCGAGACTTTATGCCAGACCTCTCTTATTCTATGCAATGTTTTTTTGTACAATACAATAAAAGGAACAGTACCTATATTCTGTTGTGATTAGTTAAAATAGATAATTTGTTGCATAATAAATTTCAAGAATTGTCAAAGCACAGAACTACAGCTACCATATATGTGCATATATATGCGCAGCATATGACAGAAAGGACTGCTACCAGTGCCTTACTATAAAGCTTGCCCAACGCTTCCCGTTATGAGTCTTTTCCACTGTATTTGCAGCTAGCCAATTTTAAGAATTCAGGCTGATTTTCCTGTATCAACGGCCTTTTCTACCTCGTGTATTGCTGTGTTGAAAAATTAATCCAAAACAGTTCAATCATTCAACGGATAAAATTAATGAAAAGCATGTTGTTTTGTCCATATTTAAAGAACAAAAAGAAAATAAAAAAGAAATTGTAACCAGCAGCATCTTTTCTTTGATAAGCATTAGCACTGTGACACCTTTGCAAACAGAGATGCATGCTTGGCAGAGACGGACTGCACAGCCTAGATGTGATTTTGCTCGACTCTTGGGGGAAAAAAAAGTGGCTGTCTAACTGAGAACTTCAGTGCAATACACTTAGCTAAGGAAGAAAAAGTTATGGTTGGAAAGGCAACATTAAACTAAAATTGTGGGCCAAAAAGTTAAAGTCATTATTATGATTGTAGAGTCAAGCAGCCAAGTTCGGAAATACCAGAACTGGAGGTAAATATACCTACTGAAATACACACACAACCTTCTATGCATAATTTTATTTGAGACTCTCACAACAACGATATCAGGTAAAAGCAATATAGATTTGGATAAGTTTCAAAATCTCCCACTGAAAAACACTAAGATATAGGCTTCTAAGAAACTTATGGAAACGGAACAGGAATTGTTCTGCCCCTAATAAGTCTCTAGAAGTGTCAGGCTAGTCAGCCATTTAACACCAAAGTTGTCAGGGCAAGAATCAAAGGAACTGTAAAACAAACACTCATGGCCAATAAACAAAAATAAAACTCAGATAATTTTATTTTACTTCTAAATAAAAAACAATGTGACGTTCTGTCTAGAAGCCACTGACACATGCTGTAGTAAATTCAAACATGGAAAGACGTTAGCTTTCCGATTCCTTCCAAATTAAGCTTCTTCCTCTTGCACTGGAGTTTTGTACAAGCTTTTATATATCTGAGGACGTGTCTGTTTAAGGCAGCCGCTGGACTTCAAGCTTATCAGCAGACGGTGCTTCAAAGACATCATCTTCAACACTTTCTTCTATTGGCTTCATTTTTGTCGAAGTTCTCAGGTAGGGAGAGGTCCGTCCTGGGCCTGCCACAATTTCAAAGAAATTACACAATTACTTTAACAATAAATACTGGCTGTATGTATACACACCCATTTGTGACAAAGCGCACAGAATCTGATGATCCTTTTCCAGTTTCCTCATAAAAGAACTTTATAACTGAGGGTTTCACAGCTATTTGGCCACTGGTATCAGGAAATTCTAGACAAGAGACAGCCAAACTGATATGAATCACCAACACCTTCCAGGTTCAAATTTTACAGCCAGTATAGACACAGAACTCCCCTCAATTTCAATGCAAGTATTGATTGCATGAGATGCTCTGCATTGTGTCCTTTATAATATTTTTCTCATTGCTGCAATCATCCACAAATTCTTCTCAACACACAACAATATGACTGGCTACCTTAAGTACAAATAGAACATATATTCGGATACTTGCCTTAGCTGTGACAAAATTCTTAGGTTCACTGGGCAGACGTCAGAGGGGTAAATGATCACAGCCCTAACTGCTTTAAAAGCATGACATGTAAAACATATGGAAAACATACTCCCTGCGTAAACAACCACAAAGAAAACAAGATAGCTGTTAACACACAAAGGCCACCTAACTTTTAGCATACAGTGATCTCACTGCTCTAAGTCTGCTAGTAAAGCAGCAACTCAAAGCTTGCCAGAGCACAGTGCACACAAAAGTCATAGCTGGTAAGAGGTTAACTGGAATTTTTGTGCAAGTTACCACTGTAAAAGTTGATCCTCTACTGTATGTGATTAAACTCTCATGCTGAAAATTTACAGAACTCCTTTAACATTGGTCAAACAGGTTAATTTGCCGTTGTCCACTGTGAAAAAAACGTATCTGTACGTGAACATTTGTTCTCTCAGTACCCTCTTCCAGAGGGAAACGATCACAATGGTACAAGCTTCTAAGCAGCTAGCAAAAAAGAGTAGGAAAATCTTTTAAGTATCATTGTAGAAGAAAAGAGCAAGTAGTGGTCCGGTCTGACAGATCATCTGTCTAGAAGCTAAAAAGTCAAATTTTCTTGAAAAAAAATACTGATAGTCATAACATACTGTTATTGCAGGGCTACTCTTATTACAAAGATTACTTTTTGAAAAAGTTTACCATATATACAATAAATTGCTCTGCTCAGGAAGCCTGGAGAAGGACTCCTTTGTGCTGCATATTTTAGACACAGAGAACAAAACATTAGCTACAGGCAAGACCAGCAGGCTTTACTGCATTTCTCAAGTCACATTCAGGCAAACACTGCTAGGAATTAGCTTTAGAACTCTGTTATAAATATATTAATATTTTCTTCTAACATTTAAAAACTACTTTGATTAATTGCCATGATAAAGGGTTACTCACAGATATTTTCAAATACTGGAAGTGTTAAACAAATCTCTTCAGGTATCTGTTTTTATGGCCAAAGTAAGTACTTTTAGATCATTTAATTGTCTAAATCCAAGACACGTGCGTACACTTGGATGTAAAAGCGACTGTCGGGAGACGCCAACGACTTTCACTCAAAGGCAAAAGGCAGCCTGAAAACGTTGGACTAGAGCATCGGTCTTCTTTTCTTAGACTTCTGTATTTTTAGAGTTCAGCACCATTTTTAGCACAGTTTTCTTTTCTTTCAAAGAGCTTATTTCTCTCCAAAATCAGAAGTGTAAGAAGTCATTAAGTCTGCTGAACAGGATCTAATGTTAGGTCTAATACTAACAAGTTGTTTGGTTCAAAGATATGCCCTTGTTTTCTCCAAATGCAGAAAACTTCTCTATTTGTACCTCTGTCCTGCGTTAACCAGATGTTCAAGGGACTGGATCAGCTCTTGAACCTAGGCCTTCCATTCATTACTCTACTGCGCTCTCTCCAGGACCCAACTTAAAGTGCCTATTAAACAGGCATTTCCTATGAAACCCAACTCTGCTTTTAACCACATACTGGAAATAACACATGGAGCCTGTAGACTGAGATAAAACCAACAGCATTACCAAAACAAAAAACTTTCTATATTCCTGCTTAGAAGTTTGCAAATACAAAGTTCAGAAACTAGCAAAGTTCTTGAGGAATATAAACCAAATACCATAGGAAAAGACACTAGACTAGCAAGCAAATGAATGATTATCAAGAAATAGAATTATTGCATAGAAACTAATATTAAAAAATTTCTATAACAACTGAAAGCTGAAGCTACCCTTCTGACCGAGTTCAACTATTTCTACTTACTCACATTTTGGAAAAAGAGATACATTAATTTACTAATAAGTTATATAGAGATGGATCATGTACGTCAAGCACAAGTACCATGTGATAAACAAATCCCACTTTAATACCTTTTTGAGGATGCTTGCTGAGTTAATGTGATGTTATCAACAGAAAACATCATGCTGCAAACGACTCACTCCGTAAGCATTATAGAACTCTTGTTGGTTATTTCCTTAATATAAAAGCAGACAGTTAGTTGGGTTTTTTAGTTAATTAAATTCAAAACACAGTTTTGTTAATAATTGCAGTTTAGGGCCTACTAATTAGTATTTTTCCTCTCTGTTGTTGCTATACACTTTCAAAAAAGCTTCTACGTAAATTTCTTTAGAAAATTAATCCAAGCTGATAGCTTGGAGCATAGAATAAAAGCATAATTTTAAAAAAGTTTGGATTATATTAAAGAATAAATTCACCACTTTGCAAGAATATGGAAATTAGGAGAAAAAAAAAAAAAGTGTTTGTACCATAGTAGTCAAACAATCTTCGTAATGGGAAGCTTTTGTCATTGCCCGTCACCTAGCAATGACAAGCTAGAATTCCTGTAAAGATTAGTTTATTTTTTCTAAAAAGAAGGACATATATCATTTCCATATGCTCCTCAGCAAAATCTTGTGTTTCTCTCTGTTATTTCTTTTTCGCTTTTAATGAGCTAATTTACGACTACAGAAGGAGGACACTAAATCCTAAAAAATACAATAGCAGACTGACTATGCTGCACTGGCAGCATCCAAAAGAAGTTTTTTTAAAAAACACAACAGGGATAAGTCAAATGCCAGCTTTTTTTCCCTCAGTTTTCTGTGGGATCTGAAGAAACGTGCAGACATGGCTACAGCACAATATCAATACCAAACTTAGGGCAGAGCTCACCTTGATAGGAAACCCATCATTGGCAATGCCATTACATAGGAGTAACAGACTAACCAGCTGTTTCAGCAAAAAAAAAAAGACTGAAGCATTATAGTTTGGCGAGACAAATGATCTTTTATCAAGTCAGAAAGGATGAAAGTCAGAAATTTTGCAATAATCAAAAGGCAAAGAAAAATAAATGACTGCATTTCCTGTGGTGTATCATACACTGCTATATGCATAGCCCCTTTGCCTCCCAAAAATAAGTGAAACATTGGACTCCGGAGGCTGCTACCACACCTGTTTCCAGTGGCATGGTAGCAGTATCAACACCAACAGCTGCTACAGTGGGTAATTTCACAACATAAGAGACGTTTAAAACCCCTTTCTGGGGAAAGTACACACCATACATCATGGTATATTAAAAAAAAAAAAAAAAAGGAAAAGTACAATAGAAAGAAGTGTTTTTATCAAGTATGTGCTAAGAATGGATGCATCTTAGGGATTCATGTAATTACAACTGAAAATTGCATATATTTCGATTACTTTCTCCCAAAGCTGAAATAGTGGTGTAAGTGTTCTGCTGCTAAGCCTGAAAGAGAATTTCAGTTCTGGCTAATTGCACAAACACAGTTTTACAATTTCTTTCAGGCTTCCAAGTAAGTAGGTCTGTCCAAGTGCACTCTATGCAGAGGAGCGGCTTAGAGGCATGGAGCTTTGTCTTGGAACACGCGAAAAAGCCAATCAACACCTTATGGGTAAATATCAGAAGACAGACCAACACGGCAGACTTCATGGTAGATATCTGCTACAGGCTGCCTGATAAAGAAGAGGAAGTAGACTGAAGCCATCTTTAGACAACCGGATGAAGCCTCACGATCGCAGGCCTTGACACTGGTGGGGAACTTTAACCACCCTGATAGCTGGTAGAAAGGGCTTGGTGTAAGCAGTCCAGGAGATTTCTGAAGCGTTGAAGATGATTTCTTCACACGGGTGATTGCTGAACCAATTAGGGGAGGCATTCCGCTGGACCTGTCACTGATGAACAAGGAAGAACTGGTCAGGGAGGGGAAGACTGATAGTAACCGTGGCTGCAGTGACCAGGAACCGGCAGAGTTTAAGAGATCGAGAGAAGAGGGCCGGAAAAATAGTAGAGTAGAATAGAACTACAACCCTGGACTTTCAGACAGTGGCTCGCTTACGGATTTGCTTGGCAGGATCCCAGGGGACATGGCCCACAAGGGCAAAGCGGCCAAGGACATCTGGTTGACCTTCAAGGACATCTTCCTCAAAACACAAGGACAGTCCATTCCAGTGTGCAGAAAGTTGAGCAAGCGTGGCAAAAGGCTAGCATGGATGAACAGGAAACTCCTGGCAGAGCTCAGTCACAAAAAGGAAGTACAGGAAAAGTGGAAGTAGGAATAAGCTATCTGGGAAGAATACAGAAACATCGCCCAAGCATGCAATGATAGAATTAGGAAAGCCACAGCTCAGCTAGACTTGGAGCTAGTGAAAGGCAACAAGAACGGCTTCTACAAATACATTAGCAAACGAAATGAAGACCAAGGAAACTGTGAGGCCATGGCTCAGCCTCAGGAGAAACGACAAAGGACATAGAAAAGGCTAAAGATACTCAATACCTTTTTTGCCTCAGTTAGACTCTGAGTCTAGTGACAGGGACTGGGAGAGTGATACATGACTTAACAGTAAAGGAGATGCCCAGTGACAGGACAAGAGGCAACAGGTACAAACTGAAACACAGAAAGTTCCATCTGAACATAAGAAGGAAAAAAAAAAAAAAAAAAAAAAGATGTTTACTGTGAGGTGATAGAGTACTGGAACAGGTTGCCCAGAGAAGTTGTGGAGTCTCCATATCCAAAAGCTGTCTGGGCAGGGTCTTAGGCAACCTGCTCTAGGTGACCTGCTTGAGCAGCGGGGGTTAGCTAGATCTCGAAAGGTCCCTTTCGGTCTCAACCATTCTGCGAGGATCAAGTTAGGGACTACTGAAGGAAACCGGGCATTCACAAGCCTGTGGGACCTCATGAGCTGCATCAGCAAGGGTGATGAGAGTTGGCTGAGGTAATTGCAAGGCCACTCTCTATCATCTTTGAAAGTCCATGACAATCAGGAGAGAGGAAAAAGTCAAATGCCATGTCCGCTTTCAAGAAGGGCAACAAGGAGGATACAGTGAACTACAAGCCTGTCTGCCTAACTGCAGTCCCCAGTACGATTACGGGGTCTAACCTCCTGAAAGGATTGGAAGGCTATTGGGAAGAGCCAGCATGGATTTACCAAGGACAAATTGTGCCCGACCAACCCGACTGCCTTCTGTGGTGAGATAACTGGACCTGTGGACAAGGGAAATGCAGTGGATGTTGTTCACCTGGGCTGTAGCAAGGCCCTTCAACAGTCTCCCATAGTATCCTTCTAGCCAAAGTGGTTAGATATGGACTGGATATGCAGACTACAGGGTGGGTAGAAAACTGGCTGGGCTGCTGAATCCAAAGGGGGGGGGACCGCAGTACAAAATCCAACTGGCAGCCAGTTACTAGCAGTGTCCCTCAGGGGTTAATACCAGGGCCTATAGCGTTCAATGTCTTTATTCATGACCTGGATGACAGGATGGAACACACTCTTAGCAAGTTCGGAGGCCACAGTGAAGAAGAGAGGGGATTATGGATATGCTAGAGGGTAGGTCTGATCTTCCAAAGGGCCTTCACGGGCTGGAGAAAAGAGCTGACAGAAACCATATAAAGTTTAACATAGGCAAAGGCAAAGTCCCGCACCTGGGACACAGCAACCTGATGCAGCAATATAGGCTGGGCGGTGACCAGTTGGAAAGCAGTTTTGCAGAAACAGACCTGGGGTCCTGGTAGACAGCAAACTGAACGCGAGTCAGCAGTGTGTCCCCATGCAGAAGAAAGCCATCCACATACTGGGCCACATTAACCACTGAAGGCTATCCTCTTGCTAATTCAGCACTTGTGAGACAGGATCTGGAGCGCTGTGTCCACTTTCAAGCTACCCAGTACAAGACACGGGCCTACTGAGAGTGCAGTGGAAGGCAGTCAAGATGGTCAGGGGCTGAAGCACATGGCATACACAGAGCGGCTGCTAGAACTGGTTTTGCTCAGCCGTATGAAGAGAAGGCTCACAGGGGATCTTACTGCTGTCTTTAGCTACCTAACAAGAGGGTATAAAGAAGACAGAGCCAAACTACTCTCAGAGGCACGCACTAAAGAACAAGGGACAGTGGTCATGAGTTGCAATAAAAGAAATTCAGAACACATAAGGAAAAATTTTCACCACAAGGGGGGTCAGGCACTGGGAACAGGTTGCTCAGAGAGGCTGTGGAATCTTCAACCTTGGAAATATTCAAAGCTTTACTGGACATGGTCCTAAGCAACCTGCTTTAGCTGGCCCTACTTTGAGCAGGGTTTTGGACTAGACAGTCTTCAAAGGTCCCTTCATACCTCAATTATTCTGTGATTCTAAATGTCCTTTCAAGAAATAGGGGAGAAAAAGAAAATAAAACTAGAATTTTCACCAGTCTCTAATAATCATATCCCAGCTGTCCCTCTCAACATTCTAGTAGGGTGAAACACTAGCAGGGCTTTTGCTTCCATGTATTTGGGAATGCAGACTATCTCAATGGTAGGGAGTGGAAAGGGATTGGCCCTCCAAGCCCATAGGAATTCTTGGATGAGAACTGTGAGGAAGACAATGGAGAACAGACAATTAAATGGGAAAGCGTAAATACTTTGAAACACTTTCTTCACCTTAGCAGAGAGCAGTTTAAGCCTAATAAATTACAATTGTTTTTATCATAGATTTAAAACCTAATTACCAAAGAATAAGATTCCTCCAACCAAAATAGATAATCCTACGTGACCCTTTTAAATGGTGTTAAACAAACAGCTTATGCCAAATAAGACAACTGAGCATATTTGGGGTATTTTGTTCAAAAGCGGCTTTCAGATTTCAGACTACTACTTAAGTTTGCTTAGATTCAAGAAAATTAAGAGTAACAAATAAAAAAAAGTTGTTTAAAAAGTTTCTATAAAGATATAAATTCCAAGAGTAGAAGCAAAAGGTCAGACCATGGCTTCCCTTATTTCATCTGTTCTACACTACTCCTGTCACACAAGGAAGGAAAGCCTGACAGGCTATTTGGAGATTTTCCAGGTGACATCAAAATATTAGTTCTACACCACATTTCTCCAGACCCTGCCAATACAAACTATCTCAGGAGGAACTGCAGAGCACCAAGCTGCTGAGGGGAAATGTTTTGTTTGGTTTTTAGTTTTTACAAACACCAGTCACGGACCAGAGTAGACGCTATTGTGACAAGTACTATACATTCATACCGATTTGCTTCATTGCTATAAGAATTTGTATGTTGATATATTCATATTATGTCAAATATTATTACAATACGTTGGTTTCTTTCAGTGTCTACACAAGGTAGCTTAAGTTGCCAAATAAAGCCTTAGACATCTTATGAACTCTCTGCATTTAGGTCCTTTCACTTACTCAATTTACAGCAGCACCCAAAAGAGCTGAATTCTGCTCCTATGCAAGACAAGGAGTTCTACAATCATTTTTAATGATCAGCCAAGTGATGTTCAAAAATGGCATCAACTATTTTGAGAACTCACGGAGCGAGGATGCAGAGGAAGTCCCACGGAGAAACATCTGCAAGCCATCTTCACTGTCACTGGTACTGGCCATGCTGTTTCTCATCTGCATCACAGAGAGCTGTGAGCAAAGACTAGGTTGTCGATCAATCTTTTTTGAGGCCTATTTAAAAAAAAACAACAACAACAACATTTAAAAAGGTATCAAGTAAATTAGAAATAAAAACGGAAAATAAGTACTTCCTCTGTAGCAGAAACTCCGAGCTCAGCTACGACTATTTATGAATCAATTGATTAAAGCAAGAGATTCAATGCTGGGTAAATTGATTTAAATGAAAATATTCTAATTACGTAGGAAAGGTTTGTACACTATGATTTTTGTTTGAGGAAGAATAAAAAAAAAAAAAAAAGTACTACAACTTTCCAAAACACCCACCCTTAATTTTTATAGTAACATACATTTTCAAACGTTATTGCTATAAAATAGTTGAACTAATCTTAAACTCATGTGATTATTTTTAGTAAAAATAAAGACTTGATAAAAACTGAGGTTAAAATGAAAATGTAATTTTATAAAGAAACGTACATAAAATTGTGAAGCCAATTTTACACGGCTTTACATGAGTCTATTATTTCTAAAGGACTTGGGAATGAAACATATACTCACCATGTTGAACTGAAAGTGGCATATAGAAACGTTAAAACTGTTATTAGTTAGAATACAGATCTTTTCTGTTCATACTGACACATATCTGCATACTGTGTAGATATATTTGAATCATACAGTGGTAAGTACAGACAGGGTAATAGCAAAACTGGAAAGTCACTTTCAGCCTTGATCTCACCTAGCCCAATAGGTTGGGCGTCCATTTGATTTTCCACACTCTGTACATACAACAGAGCACTAATTAAAATAAACATTTCAAACAACAGGCAGAGCCACTTGAAAACAGCAGTAACTGTGGTCCGAACACAACAGAGGAACTAAAAAGGAAGAGGCAGAAGCTCGCTGCTCTTGCAAGGAAGCCCAAAGGAAATATGCTGATCTCAAATATTTGTATTATTTTTATAGAGGTGTGCAGATGTTAAGCCGGAGGAGGGGAGAAGAAAGTAAAACAGACAGGAAAGAGAGAATAGGATGGGGTTGTAGAGATACAAAACAAAAGACAAAGAAGAGAAACAAATCAAAAGAAAAGATGGAGGGAAGAAGTCTACACTACAGAAAACCTTCTCAAAGTGACTAGTAATTTGAAGATACAGTTTGCTCCAATGGCATCTAAAAGAAATTTGAATTTTGGAGAGTAAGTGTTATGATATGCTTCAAAATCAGATCAATTTGTATGGTGTCAGCAGGAGGGTGTGACTAAAACTGCACACAGAAATTCACATGTCAGTTTTGAAAGTGGTTTCCAAAGTATCTTCCCGAGAAGGGGATATCCAAGCACTGAAAAGTATCAAAAACAGTACTGATAAAAATGACCTATGCTAGAAAAAGTGTGTGTATTTATATTTCCCCCCCCCTTATAAAGGGGAAAAAGTAAAGTAAGAGACTGCCAGAGGAAAACTCCTCTTGTTCTATAAATGTTTTCATATTGTATCTGTGTTTAAGACTTTCTGAAGGATGGCTTGAATTCCCTATGAGGTGAAATTGCAATGTTTCAGTAAATCCATGTTTTAATACAATATATCATTTAATTCAGCACTCTTTTCTGCCAGATGTTGGCAGCTGGACTCCATTAAAGTCTAACTATCCCTGTGGGATTTTTAAAAAACTATTTCGAAGGTATGATAAGGACCTTTCATTTGAAAACAACCATTTACAAAATTACAGTGTGATGTTATGTGACATTATTCCTTCATTTCAAGAATTATTTGTACAAATGCTTAAGTTCTACAGTGTCTGAAGCCAGCAGCACAAATCTGTTGCTGATGATTTTGTACACTAGGCACAATACCCTTCCATGTGTTAAAATGAAAAAAAAAAAAAAAAGAAAGAAAAAAAAAAAGGCATGGTAAGTGGACTAAAGGAATCTCCCAGGAGATGTAGTCCAAATGCAATTCTTAGCACACAAAGGAAGCGTGTTGGTACATGTTTCTTGCAGAGGCCATACTCAAGAAACAAGTTACTGACTGTATGGATGTATTCTGATGAATACAATACATCTTCGTCTCCTATAATTTTTGCCCTCCTTAAAACAAACAAACAAGAACTATACACTTCATAATATTACTTTATAGGTGGTACATTCCTGGTAGATCACTATGCTATTGCATCAGCAAGACTTAGATGATCAATAAAAACAGTGAGCTGAAAGAGTTTTGAGCATCTGATTCCAAGACAGTGTAACCCTCTATTTCACTGGCCACAAGGTAGAATAAACAGTGCTTTACTGCTATAAAATTCTCTCTCCAGTAATTCCTCCTTCTTTCTGTAGATAGCAGGAAATTGAGAAAAAAATATGATGTTTCATCAGCTGTAAGTACATTTCAGGTAAAGCCTGTTAAGTCTGTTGTATAGTACCAGTCATTCCCTTTGGATCATTTCCCAGTACAGTCACAACTTTGTTTACAGAAGTGGATATTTAACCTTTTTGTGAGGTATCTAAGGGCAATCTGATGAGATGAATTTTTGCTTTGAGTTAGGGTGGATTAAATCCAAAAAACACAGAACATGGAGAGATTGTATTATAAATATTCCAAGCTTTTCATAGATGATGGTGGAAGTTCTTCAATAAAACATATGAAAACTCTATAGCCACTACATTCAAAAAAAAAAAAAATGCACTAGCATAAGCCGAGTTACCTCCAAACCATGAGAAGCTATGTATCTAAGAAAGGAGACAAAAGTAAAACAAGATAGTCAATACATCCATGACTATATCCAAACCACTTCCCATGACACCTGAAACACAGTCCCTCTACATGTAAAGAAGCATGAGTTATGTTCGGACCACTTATTAGAAGTATTTTATATAGATTTCATGTCTCCCTCCACTAACTACATCAAAGCTTAACATTCTCTTCTCATATTTGCAACCCTCAAACGCATGTTGGAATTATTCTTCTTGGCAATCAGTGTCACCCAGTTGTCTGACCTCAGTAAGTCATCTATTTCAAAAAAAAAAAAAAAAAAAGAGAAAAAAAGCTTCTTTGTACAAAGGCACCCATTTGTTAATAACGAAGGAGGTCGGGCGGGGGGGGGAAGCATCATTTTAGCAACTAGTCCTCATGCCTACCACTTGGCTAGAAACATGTGCAAGAGCCACTTCGGTCTGATTCTCAGTTATTCCTCTTTCTTGCACATCACCATGCTAACATTAACCAATATTGCTGCTGACAAAAATGTTTCGCTGACTCATACTTTGTCACTAAAAAGAAACAAGTATGAATTCAGCAACAGATAGCAGCAGGTTAAAAACAAGATGCTTTCAGACAGTTTAAGTTCAGGTAACAATACATTTTTGAAAGGCAAGAAAATTCCCAAACAAAACTTCAACTGCTTACCTTGTCATTTAATGTTGGGTCATTCAATGAGTAGAGTTTATTTGTAATATCTTTGCCAATAAGGTACCTAAAGATCTCATAAAGAAATGGCTCAGATTCCAGAAAATAAGTCAGCCTTTCCCTGGACCAGCACAGGAACTTGCAGTTATCATCTGCAATAATGGTGACCTGACAAGACATATACTCAGAGTTAGTGCTTCTCTCTTGCTTTAAAATAAGTGATATTATTTTATTTGGGCCTACATTTGGGCCATAAACTATTTTGGGGTATCCCTTAGAGAATGATACTTACAAATTTAAAACTACTCAGATATGTTATCACTGTATTTTTAAAGATGCTGGTAAGTATGGCTGGTTCATTTTTCAGGAAGTTTAGAGGGAGATAATTACGGAAACTCTCATAGGGTCCGAAACTGTAAACATTTATGTTAGAAGACATTTACATATAAAGTCAGTCCTGCACTGATGACACTACTCACATCCCAATAGGCCTACTTGTTACTAGGTTTTAGTCCATGTCATTGTAAACAAACAGGTACAACTGGTATAATCCAAAGATCTCTGTGCAAGAGGTTTTAGAGAGTCTGAAAAAGTCGTTTCATTCTTCTCTGACCGCTTTGTTGCCGGACCTTGTGATCTCACAGGTACAAGCTTCTAGCACTTGAGCTAAGGAACTATTTGATTCGTTATTGACAATTCTGCTATTGACAGTTACAGAGAAACTTGCATCTTCTCTTGGAAGGTTTTAACCCTTGTAAATACATAGCCAGATTTGTCATACTATGCCAGGAGAGGGCAGTGGCATACAAAAGCAGTACATGTTCAGTGTTACTGCAACAGTATATTTTACAGTAGAAAGTAAACCATCTATGAAGAAATAAGCTGCCTTCTACTACTACTAGTTGATTTCACCTCCTAAAAAATAAAAATGTAGAAGAACTAAGAACAATGGAAACCTGTCACATAAACATGGATTTTAACTTTACTCTCTGTAATAATTAGGAAGAATTCATCAGTATCACCAGCAGATGGAGTCCTTAAGATTTAACATACGTCCCACTTCAACAGCAATGCTGAGAATATTTATATTGCAGTATGCTGAAATCACAAAAAGCAAGCAAAACTCAGAAGTGAAGGATATATATGGTAGTAGATTACAATAATATTTAAGGTAGGCACAGCCTGAGGCCTAACCATTTTACTTTCAGTGGAACTGATTCCTATCTGTCCATTTAGAAGAGAAATGGATAGTATGAAGGGGATTGCAATTCTACAGGATTCCTCACTGCTGTGAAACTAATACATCTTGACAACTAACTCTCTTTGGCATTAAGCCTAGTACTTGACTGGAACATATTACATCAATCACTGATTTTAGATTCTCCATTACTCTTCCTCCCTCCCTTTTCTGTTATGATACCACTGTGGATATACCCTGTCAAACCACAGGCTAGTAACTACTACTCATATGCAGTTAATATCAAGAAGGGAGCAGCAAAACACTGATTTCAGTACTATGTGGAGAAAACCTACTTTAATAGCACTTTTTACTGCAAGCTATCGTACGAGATATCCATTAATGTACTGGTATAATTACACCACTACTCAACATTGTTCCCCGTAGGAATATTTTTATTCAAAATAGCATGACGTCTTTCAGTTAACGTTGCTTTAACAACTTGCAAAATGACAGAAGCATTAATATGTTTAAATAAATATCAAACTACTAGTGCTTGGATTTTTAAAATCTTTCATTTTATTAACACCAAAGAGTACTATAACTAAGCACAGAAAAAGATTTTTTTCCTTTTTTTGTTTTTTAAGCTAGTGAAGAGATCACTCACATCATCTCCTTTTCCAGTAAAAGCTACCTTTTAAATTATTTGTCCTGAATAATATTTTAACACCAATTAAATTTGTGAATAGTAAAAAGAAAGAGAGAACAGAACAGCTAGTCGGAGAACACCATCACAGCACTGTTTTGCAGCACTTCATTTTAAGTTATTCTTGATATGGGCCATCACTAAACATCAGTACTAGAAAGCTAGCAAAATCATGCAAGTCAAATAGTTTACTGTTGATCAAACTTATTCTATGGATACTAAGCTGTTTTTCTCAGTACCTTGTTAGTTCATATCCAGTGACATTTAAACCAAAGTGTACCTGGAATTTCTCACCCCGATTCATCTGCGTTGATCGAAATTCAGGAGAATCTATAAAGGCACAGGGGTAAATATTATGCAGAAAATGCCCTCGATAAGAGACCTTCATTCTGGAAATAAAAATGCGTGAATCAACATTTTAAAATCATGGAGGCTGAATAACTTAAATTTGAATATGGTTATTGACAAAGGTAATGCAGAAGGTAACAGACTAAAGTATGTATATCTTCTGGAATTTCAGTCAAAGAGCTACTCTATTTTCTGTCCAAACCTTCTCTGATTCCAAACAAAAAAGGCTATTAGCCAATTTTAGTTGGCCAATGTTGTGTGCATTCTCAAAATTTTGCTTTTCAAAATGAGAAAGGTCTGAAGGGTAATGCCATACTGCCAGGAGGAGGGGGGAAAAAAAAACACACCGGCTTCCCCCCCCCCCCCCCCACCCAAAAACCACAAACAGTAAACACACAGGATTCAGAAATGTGCAGCTAATGACTTCAGAATCAAGGAAAAAAGGATGAAACTTCATGTCACTGTTGCGATTCACAGAAATTGGTTAAAATATTGGCCAGAACTTAGCAAGAGCTTCATGATTACAGTCTGGCCACAGGGATTTATGAATCAGGCCCTTTCCCGTCTGTGTTTTGCCAGTCCCTGGACAGTGCACCTGCCTCTTTCTGTTTGCATCTATTACTCACAATGAGTCAATTTCAAGAGACCCCCTGTTATAAACTCTGCG